GAATATATACTAGCGACTCACCCTCGCTCTGCTCAGGTTCGTCCCTAGGTGATACCTAATTTTCTTATTTATAAACCGATTATAATAAAACAAATACTATATGCTAAGTGAAGCCTTCATAATATATTAGTGAAAACCGCATCCAAATCGGTTAAGCCGTTTCTGAGATTAGCGCGCACAAACAAACAGACAAAAAGTCTAAAAATCATCGTTTTGGGTTCTATAGCCTAAATAAAGACCCCCAATGATAGTTTTTCTTAAATATCTTCCATGTACACAAAGCGATCAGTTACACTTTTATTATATATAGGTAATGTTTTATTGTTATCATTTTGTTCACTTCTCCGGTATGTAATAAACAAGTTTTCAGTATAATTGAAGTAAGCTTTTTCCTTACAGGACACATCGTTAGCAATTATTCATTGGGAATTATTGAGAATCGATATTGTAAGGTTCTATTACAATGTTAATACGCGGCAGTAAACGTTAAGAAGAATATGATTGAAATTGTTGATTCTTAAGTAGATTTAACGAGTTGCTTCCTCGTCGGTGGCGATGGTAGGAAACGCAACCGCCCGCGAGTGTGCCTTGACCTACTTATACTCTTTGCCTCTCTACGTCTAGCTCTCGCAACCACAAGATTCATTGGATCTTAGCATCGGCTTGCAGCGATCAAAATATATTATATTCCTATTATTATTTCATGGAGATGACGTAAATTTCATAATTGTAATAGTTTCATAAGTAGTTAATACTTAAATAAATGCTTTTTGCGAATAACATACCACTTTTTGATTAATAACTGATTATAGGGGAGAAGTGGTATGAAAGGGATTTAAAGATATGAATATCTAATAGGTAATAATTGGTTTATGTCTAAGAATTGAAGATTATGATATTGTTGATTTCTGTTTAAATAATATGTATGTGTTTAATTCTGGTCTGTAAGATGAAAATAGTAAGTTTACACTTTGCTACACATCTTCTAAAAATATGAAGTACCTACCTGTGTGTACAATAACTACTTAGGTATGTTTCAGAATCAAAAAACAATAATATAATATATATAAAATAATAATATATAAAAAAGTAATAATTACTTAATAATAATAATTCCAGACACTTTTTTGATTCTGAAATATACCTAAGTAGTTATTGTACAAATACTTGATATTTTTAGAACAAGTGTAGCAAAGTGTAAAGTGATTTTCCTTGATATTATGTACTGTCCCTTTCATAAACTATTGTGACCCTTTCAATACAGGCTATTATTAAAAGGGACAAAATACACATTTTTTTAATATGCGGAATTAAATAACTAAGAATAAACAAAAGAGAATTAGTGCATTTTATTTCAGTAGTATAATAATAGAGGCTTCCCATTCGACTACAACCAGTTCTAAATATTATCTCAATCACTTTATAGAGCCTCAATATCAAAAATGTCCCTTTCATGCCACCTCTCCCCTAATTGTTTTGTAGACATAGATATGAGGAAATAAAAACATACTTATTAAAGACAAAAAAAATATGTAGACAGGTATATAAAAATAAAAAAACTCGACTGCGTAAAAGTGAACTAAATAGATGTGAACAAGTTGATATAAGAACAGATTTATATAATACTAACAGAACCCGTGGCTTCACTCGCGCTAAAACTACAAAAAAACTCAAAAAAGGTAGCTGTTTCATACAAACTTTCACCCCCTATTTTACCCTCTTATGGAATGAACTTAGAAAAATGCTAAAACACGTATTTATTTAATTGTTTTGTAGAGCATTAATACCAAGTTTCAAGTAATTCTGATCATAAATATTTTTTTGGGTTATATTATAACGGGGTTTCCCGTGGGAATGAGATAATCTCCCGCGGTAAAAAGTATCCTTTGGCACTCTCCAGCCCTCCAACTATCTCCACACAAAAAATCACGCCATTACTTCAATCCGTTTTGACGTGAAAGAAGGACAGACAAACAAACAAACACACTTTCACATTTATAATATTAGTATGGATTAAAGGATCTATAGCTTAGCGTACTATGAGTTCTTCAAGGCGCGACGGTGCGATACCAATACCGCCAACTTTGCAACTCTACTTTGCTACTGAGAATTTAATTGTAAGAAAAATCAAATAATTATACTTGGTCCAAGATGGGACTACAACCTAGGACCTCCGAATCTGCCGATGTACATGCTAACTACACTAAAGAGGCAGTAATAGCAATATCAAGTACCTACCATAAATTCAATTGGATCAAATTTTCTTGTATTAATTGACCTTGCTAGCTGTGCCAAGTTGACGACAAGATTAAAAGTTACTGTTGCGCTCAAATTGCGAGTCGTATTTGATTTCGGCCATGACTTCGAGATGTATTTGACCTCTAAATTGCTGTGACTAATATTTGCTTTAAAATTAAACAAACTTACAGTTCTTAATATAATATAGGTAGGTATTGTATTGTATTCAGCCCTTTTTAACGTCCCACCGCTGGGCACGTGCCTCCCTTCAGTACGAGGGGAATCAGGCCATAGTCCACCACGCTGGCCAAGTGCGGGTTGGGGGACTTCAAATGTCCTTTGAAAACTTGCTAAGTTCTCTCAGACATGCAGGTTTCCTCACGATGTTTTCCTTCACCGTTAAGGCAAGTGGTAATCGTGTTGGAAATGAGTTGCACATGAAAATATCAGAGGTGAGAGACTCGATTTCCCAAGCGAGCGCTTTACCACTGGACTACCACTGTCTTAATATACTGTATAGGTAGGTATATTTATATGTTTTATATTTAGAAACTAGCAAATCATCTTTGTTTCACGCAGTCTAACGGCACCTCGCGCTTCTGGCACCCGTATTGCATACCGATTGTTTGACTACGTTTTAGTTTATACATCTACTCTGACGTCATTGTGTGCTAAATGCTCTATCTCTAGAAAAATCAAATCAGAGCCCTGATTTTATATAAATCTATACACACATGCCATTTATACTGATGAAATTATTATATCATTTAATAGTACACATTTTTGGCAATATTAATAATATATATAATGCACTTTTTGAAGAAATTATTTTATTTTGTTTATCTAAGTAAAAAATATTATAACTATTGGTTAAAAAATTTTTTCAATTTTGTTGCCATTAAATGACCTCAAAATGGAACGATCTATATCGGGGGGATTGTATCTAGTCGATATTTATACCGATAAAAACAGTTGAAAGACAATTTATTGTTCGAAAAATAAAACTTCAGATTAAAACTATCTCAAACTTAATATTACCTACACTAAATTATTCTACAAAATTGATAAAATACACAGTGAATATTCAAAACGAACAGCACAGTAACTGTAAATCAATACTGTTAAAAAAACTATTTGTTATCTATACAGATAAATAAAACTAAAGTCTTTGTTTGTAATGTCAAAATAATATTTACTAAATACATATGAAACTACGAGTATATACGGTACATAAAAGAAAAACGCAATTTTTAAAGATTTTGTTAGTCTGTCTGTTTGTTCCGGCTAATCTCCGAAACGGCTGGACTGATTTTAACGAGACTTTTACTGGCAGATAGCCGATGTTATAAGGAGTAACATAGGCTACTTTATTTTTTTTAAAAAGTTAGGGTTCCGTTCAAAAAAATTAAAACGTTCGTAGGGACGCACCCGATCGAAGCGAGTTTTAGTCGCTAGTATCGTAATAATTATCATAAATAACACAAATTATTAAGTATTAAATATTTTTAGTTTATTACTTATTTATTTTTATTTGGTTTATACTGGTGCTATTTATAAATTTTGTAGAATATATAGAAAATACAGTTATAATAAAAGTGACATAGGCAATTTTTATTAGGGTAAAAAGTTCCCGCGGGATAGAAGTCATTTATTATATGACTCTTTTATTTTATATGGAGTGAAGTGAGGGTCGAAGCGAAGCGAGCATAGGTTCCATATAATATAAAGATTGTATTTGTTGGTAACTCTCTAATCAATATGTATGTAATAATATAAATTTGTCTCGTAATCTAATACTATTTAACCTTTAATAACACTAAAATATATATTTTTTTCAATTATCTGACACACTAGGCAATGCAATTCTCACTTAGAATCTCAGTTAAAACTGAGAATTCAATGCCAATATAGATAATAAAAGAGATAAGGTAAAACTATTTAAGAATTCTGAATTCTGCAGATAAAGTGAATATCCATATAAATGAGCAATGTTCTAAAATTAGTGAACTTGCAAACGAGGTCACTTCGCACGTCACTTAACTTTAGATTTCCTGAGAATATAACTTTATTATCGTTTCTTCGATATATTTTACTATATAAACTTACAAATTGGTTGAACGAGTTTACATTGCACATAATCGCAAAAAATAATCGATTTTTTATTTTAGTAATTTTATATTACTTATTAATTTATAATGAAAAGCTCACTGGTTGATGCATGAGAATGAACACAATGTACTGTACACCTGCACCGACGCGGCAATGGAAATTAATTTATTGCCTCCCTGCAGAAAGGCATTTCGAAATCTACTTGGAATCTTTTTGTAACTCGATCATTAGTATACCAACAGAAGTCGGTGAAGAACTCTAGTTTGGATTGTAGAGCCTTATTAGAATAACCAAAAATATAAAAACAAAAAAAAAACATATTAATTGAAACGTTTTAAATGAAATTCTTTCTAGAATGAAACCGGGAAAATCTTAGATTAGGTATTGTCTAACACAACAATGACGAATGAGAAAACGATCGCGGTTTGCGATCGCGGAAGAAATTTTGCAGTTGTGTTCGTTTTATATTTATTTATGTGAATTATTTTGCAACTGTTAAATGTGACACATTAAAAACACGACGAACGTCTTCGTTTATAAATAATACAAAGCTATAAATTAATTTAAATGGGACAGCCATTATACGTATCTTGACTATTTGCATATATTGTCATAAGACGAAAATAATAATATACATTTTTAAATGTACTTACAATTGCCATTGAGCTGCTTGAAATCCAAATGGTTAACAATCCATTAACTAATGACACAAATCACTTATTTGCGATGCACAATAACCGGATAGTAATCGTCGCAGTGACACTTCACTATGTACAAAACGACACTCACTTCAATCCAGTCTAATACACTAACACTGTCAAGTAAATTTAAATAGACACTAACATTTATTCAATAAAAGTATACATATGGTTACATAAAACTACACACACCGTATCTGGGTTCACACCCAGTTCCAAGTAGGTACCTGTAACAAAGCAATGCTATGAAAAGCTGAATATTTTTAAAAACTATTAAAAAATGTATTTAAAACTGAACTGTTACTATTGAAACTCACATAAAGAGCAGTAAATTGCAGTGAGCTCTACAATTAAGTGGGACGTAAAGTATTTCGTTCCGATAAAGCTCGTATACGTATTATCAAGAAGCTGACCGAACGCTGACTGGTAGCGCAAAGGGGGAAACGGTGGGAGGGGAGAACAGACGGAGGACAGATCGAGGGAGGGAGACTGTCTGGTCGACTGGTTGGTCGACCTATTGGCACGGCACACACACAAATACAGTACACTGTCAGTAAAGTTTCTAGGCTGATTTATTTCACGCCTACAGAAGCGTAACAGAAACAAATAAAGCTAACATAAAACCGATTGACTCAAAATCTTTGGGAATCACGTCGTCTATTTTGTTTGTTTTTATAAAAGGTAGGCGCAATCTTAAAACAAATTCCGGAATTACTGCAACGTAGGCATCCGCAACCTTCAGGAGTTCTCATGGCCACGCGCTCGAGCGTAAAGGTCATCTTACACTGTTGCTAGCGAATAAAATATACTTGTCGAATAGTGCTCTATCGGTGACTCTACCTCAAACGACAATGCCAAGAAACATGCATAGATACCAAGTACTGTGGCATTGATAACAATAGTTATCCGAAACCAATTGAAGAATACGCCAGTGAGATAACCGAGGCTGATAAGCTAAATACGTAAGCAAATATGAGACACTGAAGGGCGCGTAGAGTTTATAATAAAAACACAGCAAACATATTAAAAAAACATCTAAACAGGTTTACTTCCTACTATACCGAACCCATCTTTGTAACCTTGATAAAAAATTAATGTAATCGTAATATATTACCTGTGTTTGTATCTTTTAAAAAGATTAATCACATAATTTTAAATATACTCGTATAAGTTTAGTATAAAACTGTATATTTAGTTCTTAAATAGAAGTCATAATCAATATAATTTTGACGCCTGCTTTGCATCAGATTAAAATATGTTCTTAAAAATAAACAAAAATAAGCAATTTTATTATGTTATTAATCTAATATGGCCAAAGTAAGTATATGGCCTTAGTAAACTTATGCAAATTATGTATAGTCTTAGTTTTAATTATTTTTTATTTATTATAGAGTTTTTATTATATTATTTTGTATAACTATAACTTATTTAGTTGTTATAAATTATATTTAATATGTAAGAATAATTAATGGTTCGGTTTTATATACTAGGTACCTACTACCTATCTTTTAAATAAAACTATCTTTTCGTATTTTTTCGCGGATTTATTTGGATTTTTGGTTTCCGACGTTTCGAATGCTTTACAGCATTCATGGTCACGGGAGAGACTGAGGTGCTACATGTCTCGAAGGTATAGTTGTTACAGACAGCTTACCCACAAATAACAAAATGCCAATTACTTTAATAATATTTTTTTTATCATTAAACATTTTTATAATTTTAATTAGTTTTATAATTGAATATGGAATATTATTTATTTAATTTTTGCTGTTATTATAATAATTATTACAATTTTAAAAATATTAATTAGTAATCTATATTTAGTGTTGCCATTATTATATTGATAACCATAAAGAAAAATATAAAATATAGTATTAATTATTTAAGCCATATAATTGTTCTATGTGTAATTTAAAAAGTTAAAATTAATTAAGGATAATAATTTTAATTTAGTTTGCTATTATTTAAAAAGACAAATTACTAAGCAACACTATTACTATATACTTTTACAAATGAAAAATGAAAAATATTAATCTGATGTGCTGTCATTTTGATCCACACAGTAAAAACTTACTACATCTACCTGTCTGTTATGTTTAGATTTATTATTTGATTTTATTATATTAATAACAGGATCCCATGACGATGGTAGTACCCAGCCATCTTCCCTATTGAAATTTGGATGTTTTTTAATTTCTATGGCTTCTCGAATCATTCTAGGGCGAAAAATCGGGATCCAAAAATCCAAATAAATCCGCGAAAAAATCCGAAAAGATAGTTTTATTTAAAATGTCAAATATTCGCGTAAATCTAAGAAAGTATTACGATTACTACCTACCTATTTTCTTAATATCATAGGGAATTTTTAGATCCAAAATTAAAGTTTAAATACACTTCTTAATACTATGGGTTACTTTACCGTATGGGTTTAAGCCGCTATGCGCAGAGATAAATAAAAATAAATGCGCGGATAATCTTCGTGGGGGTAACGCACTTGTTTGGTTCTGTGCGTCTTTCCCTCTCGCACTCGACTGTTCAACTTTTTTTGCTCGTATACCGAGTCATCGCCTTACCAGTTCTTTATTTTTAATGGCAACTACATAACTCGTGGCAAATGGCGAACCTTTCACTAAACGAGTACCAGATTTCTTTAAATTCTTATTTGTTTGCGAAATACACGATGAGGTAATTTATAAGCGACTCACCGCGCGAATGACCGTCAAGGTTTATTTAATGGAAGCTAATTCAATTCCGATAGAATAATACTAACTATGTAACTATATAGACTTACATATAAGTGGAACCTCCTTGATACATTGCAAAACCTCAACTTACAAGGTTATGCGAAATGCCGGAATAGATAGCGTTTCGAAGAGCTCTTTTTCTAATAATCTACGTCGTTTCTAAGTATTGCAATACTGGTTTACAGTTCGTGGGCACGTTCTACCGCTGTTCGAGCAAGACTGAGACCTGTTCGAGAGAAAGTGAGCAAGCGATTACTTTCCAGCGGTCGTCCAGTTTACTCCGTGGTCTTTGCACTGTCCGGCGCTCAGAGGCTACCGTTACCCTCTTTTTGCGCAACGAGGTCACCCGTAAAGTACACAAATTGGGTAAAACGACTTAATACAACCCGTTGTGAGCTGAATTGTATGAAATTACACTAAAGTCTACACAAACCTAAAATAAAATTCTTACATAATACGGCACATAATAGTAATAGCTGACATTAAAATCTAGACAAGGTAATTAAATCTTATATAAACAAGTTATGCAGAATAAGTTAATACAATTTGTGATTGCATACATAATTAAATAAATTATGGATATATTTTGTATTACTTCCGCAAATTTTAAGGAATGTAAACTAAAAAAAATAAGTATGTAAGTGAGCTTCATTTAAGATTTATGAAATTTATTTACGTAACAATGATATTATGTTAAATCATAGGCGCATTAGGTAATATATAAGCATTGTAGATATTACAATTAATAGAAATCTAACGAATTCATTATAACTACACACTATACAATTAAATTCATACTATCCATAACTAATATGTATAATATTGTAAATGTGAAAGTGTTTTTGTTTGTTTGTCCTTCTTTCACGTCAAAACAAAGTGACAGATTAGCGTGACCTTTTTGTGGAGATAGAACTTGTATGGCTGAAGAGTGACATAGGCGACTTTTTACCGCGGAAGATTATCTTATTCCCACGGGAAAATACGTTATAATATAACCTACAACAATTCAAAATACCTATATAATATATAATACAATAATATGTAATATATAATATAATAATATATTAAAGAGTTTTTGTTGTTTTTTTTATAAATTAGTGTTAAATAAATTAGATTATAAAGAATTACAATAAAATGACAAATTCCTGAACTTGTAGAGTAAATGAATACCTAATTTAGGGACATTTTAAAATGTCAATGACATGAACTTAATTGTTACAATCTACAGTAGGTGAGTATTGTGTGATTTATAATACTAATTTTCGGTTTAAAACGTAAAATATTTTTGTGAATAGAAATAAAATAAAAAAATTGAAATAGTTCATTAAAAATATAATATTAAAAGAACTAAAATGGACTTTGCTATCTTACTACATACAAAATCGCTACAAAAAGAATGTAGTTGGTATGTCAATTTCTCTTGCGCTGTAGCATGTTGAGAAGCATTGTTTCACGAGCGTTCACAAGAGCTGCTGCTGTGATTCACATTTCACATACATTCGTAGTCGATATACATGCGTTTAATTCCACACTTTCAAGAGGAAAATAGTAAATGTAAAGCCACAGATTTTATGAATTGGTAATACCATATATATTTTTTCTTCTATAATGTCATACAGTCTATAACTTAAATTTAAGTAATTTACGTACTGTGAATTTTATAATATCTTTTAAACTGTGAAAACCTAATAAGCTTTAAAAAAGCTTAGTAGGCAATATATCGAGTGCAGAGCGACTCTGACCTGACCTTGCCTCTCATGAACACACAATTAGGTCAGTTGGTCGACAAATTCGCATTTTTACATCATGTATACCAGGCTTTATATTCTAAAAAAACCTTATCTTCTTAATATTTGAAAAGAGTGAAACTAATCTTCGATAATGCGTATAAGCAAGTACTTGGAGCTGTATTGGCCTGACCTTGTCTCTCACGGATACACAATTGGGTCACGCGGTCAACAATTTCGCACTTTTTGCATCACGCGCACTTAACGTTGCTTTCGATGTCTCGAAACACTTTATATTTCCATTAACTATAATAAAGCTATATTAAAGATAATAAGTAATTTATTTCCATATGATACATACTAATACCTATGTATGTTAAAAACATAAGGTAGGTATACGATTGATTCAGAGTTACAAGCGTAGGCATAAGTGTTGGTGTTACTTAAATATATTTTACATATTGTTTTTATAAATGGTAATACTCCCACCCCAGTCAACCAGCCATAACAATTATATTATTAGATTTTTTTAAATTTGAACCAAAAAAATTTACCGGTGGTAGGACTCTGTCAAGCCTGAGGAGTCCGACTGGATGGGTACCACCCCCTTATCATTTCTCCCGCCAAGCAACAATGATTACATTGTTGTGTTCCTGTTTAAAGGATAAGGTAGCCAGCGCAATTACAGGCAAGATCATATTATCATCTTAGTCCTTACAGTGACAACGCACCTGCGGTACTGCATTTTTGTAACATAAAACCTAAGTGTATGAACCGTAGGTGTTATGGGCGACAGGTACCGCTTTCCATCAGATAGGCTGTCTGCTCGTCTGTCACTGAACAGGTACCATAAAAAAAATACATTATACATATTTATTACGTCAAAGAAGACCAACTTACAGTTTAAGTGCGGAAAATTGAGTCCACCTTACATTACATTTACGTCAAAGAAACTCAAATGTCTTTATTTGCATGATACGTACGCTTATTTATATTGTATAATACATACGTATATTTATATTGTATGATAAATAGGTCGGCATAATGTATACAATAACATTACGAGAAAGAAAGTTTTGTTAAATAAATATACTATTATAGTAGGATAAACTATTAATAAAAAAAATATACCGAAGTTAAAGAGAAAAACGAATAATGGGTACCATTGGTAACGCATTCGCTTGGAAAAGCATTTGAAACGTGTTCAATTCCAGATCTAGCACATCTAAGATTTTCATGTTCAAATATTTGTCAACACTTGATAACACGGTGATGGAAATCATCATAAGGAAACTTGTATATCTAAAAACCTTACTAATTTTCGCAAGCGTCATGCCTAACAGTTGGAATATTTTATTATATTATTATTGGAATATAATAGAACCCCTTCATAATGCAATAGTATTGTATCGAAATTGCAAACAAATACAATTAGAAGACTAATATACTTATTCATTCTGTTCAAAATACTATTAGTTATTCCAGATTAAAATTAATATACAGTGTAAGCTCTACATAGCAAACTTCTATTTAACGAGAAACTGCTTAAAACGTAGGTATTGTTAAGGTTTGTTTGGTTTACATTGTTACTTATATATTGAAACACTCTATATAACGTAACAACCACTCTTAATAGCGAAAGAATAAGTTTTTATTTAGACCCCAATAAAGATCACTTCACTGACCTTCAGACACAACACTGACATAGAGTCCTAAATATTTGTACGCACAATTCATAGAAATTAAAAGTTTTTTTTTTGTTTATAATGATGATTTTAATTTTACTTCTTATTATTATCTATTATCAATCTCTTTTGTATTATGACATTTATCTATAATAATAATTATTATTATTTTTAAATTTTTGTACTTTTAATTCATGAATATTTAAATGCTATGTACACTTATAATTGACATACATATAAGGTATATTATTATTACATTAATTAAAATGAAAATGTTTCTTTAATAAAAATGTTTGTTTAATATGTATGTTGTAAGTGTGCTTTTTACAAATAAATAAAAATAAAATAAATAAATGCTTACCACATGTTTACTTCCCTATTATCGTCCTTTTCGTTATAATATTCTAAGTTTCATTGATACTCTTGAACTGTAAACATGACGAGTAAAAGAAAGACTTTGTGTATTGGCGAAAAAGTGTCATTAATTCGCGCGATAGAAAGGGAGAGAAAATATTGACAAAGTAAAAACCGACAAAGTTAGCAGATTATAATTTTGTTATGTAAATAAAGTTATGTACTAAATTCTTTGTTTATTATTGATTTCCTCTACTCTCCATTTAACGAAGACTCTATAACGTAAAGAAATACTCGATCCCTTCAATTTCGCTATATAGAGTTTACACTTTACTTATTTACCTATTACTTATATGTAATAGGTGAAAAATTTATGTTCAGATTAGGAATATTTTTATGTTAAGCTTTGTTATCTTATGAAATCCTAGGAATAAAGCTATCACATAATCAGGTAAATATAGACATAAACACTTATTCCAATTCGATATTTTTTGTCAGTTCCATATGTTCACTAGAATCGTTAGTTTTACTGACACCATCCTCAATAAATAAAGATCGACCATAGACAAGGAGATAAAAAATCCTGCACCATTCCCTTTCGCTGGTTGTCGCAGGTAGAGACGAACATAACGTAGATTGTGCAAGCAGTATGTCACTTAAAATAAGTCAAAAAGGAAAGAGACGGCAAGTGAAGATGACTATTGTTCCATATGATACATTTTTTTTCATTTTAGTTACAAACTACGTGCCTTTATTGTCTGTATATTATACGAGGGAGTATTTTTTATAGTAATAAAATATTTGGGTTACCTATTGTTCGCCGATAACACAATTGATCTAACGAAGTTACATAATGCTCTAAGTTCACAGTTCATGTCAGATATAGGGTTTCACTTGTCAACTAGTGTTGTAACTGTAATTATTTCTTTTTTTATAAATCCTTTTTATTATAAAAAATAGGAATCTCAAATAATTTTATACAATGATAAAAATCAATAATCGAAATAAAATTAAATAATAATTAATTACATGCAATTATATTTTTTCGTTTGTGACGTTTATAATATGTTGCATTTACAATTATATAAGGCCTACTGTATTGTATGTCGCTCGAGAAGTGGGCTTTAAAAACTGGAAATCAGCTTTATATCCATCTAATTTATTACATATTTACATAAGTAATACAAAAAAATTCATAATTTATTATTCGTTCGTTGTTTTGTCGTCCACTTGATTACATGTTAATGAACGTTTATATTCGTTAATAATAATAATAATTGTTGATTTTATCTAGATATATGACAACAGTTTGTAACAAAATTACCACAGATGTTGCGCAAGTCGGATGCTGCGGACAATGTCGCCGTAATGACGCGCTCCATTTATACCTACATACACGGTTATATATAATTACTGTGCGACCTGACTTTGTCATAACAAACAAATATGCTTACAAATTTAAAAAAAGCATAAAATTATTATTGAAATAATACTTCTTTTGGCACGTTTGGAAAAAATTATGAGAGTAAAATTTTTACGATGCGCGCGCACACCTACAGCCAAAAAGCGACATGATGAAGTTGGCTCAAAGCAACATGATGAAGTTAGCTGCGTTCCTTTTACACACAGAGAGTTGTGACATACGGTATGAAATCTAGCTATTTTATAATTATATAACTTCTTACGTACATAAGTACACACACAAGTTTTTTTATATTATAAAATACATTTATTAGGTGTTTTCCTTGTGTACACTGGTTTAAAATGTTTTACTAATAAATACAATTTATTTAAATTGTGATAGACGTAGTTATTTTATACAATTTAGTGTATAATTCTTGTCCAATATACGAGTATTGAAATATTTAATCTGTACTGGAGAAAAAAAGAATACAAAAAAATAGAAAAATAATGCTTAATCTGTTCCGTTCCTACTTTGAACAAATCAAAAATTAATTCTAAAATAATTTCTGTTAATTATTTTAAATTTTTAATCACACATTGAGCACTCGAATGCACTCGTCTTTTTAATATAATATGCTATCCTACATTATAAAAAAGTAGCGTTTACATACTACTAAATGATTAGGTATGTCGAAAGTTCAATTTTTCATGTAACACTTTATAATTTTATAAGTTTGTAAAGATCGTGACTAACTTAGGTAATATTTCGAGATGTCCCAAAGAAAATCGAACAATATCGAGGGTCGTGGCGCAATAGGTGGCGAGCGAAGGCGCGCTTCGGACTATTAGTTGTGCGGACGACGGAATGCTTACAAATAATAATACCTCGTAGCGATTACGAGCAAGTCATCGACCTTCGAAAAATCTGACCTGCGCCGCGCGCCGCAAGGTTGCGCGCACGACACCGCAATGCTAGAGCTCGATGATTTTTATTAACTAAAATCATTACTATAATATTGTCTACATCAAACACATCTAATGGACAAAGACTTAGACATTATGTCAATCTATAATCATTGTAGGATTTTGTAATGCAAGTAGTAAACAAGTTGTAAAACGAGTTAATTTTGGTTGCTGCGAATTAAAATACGTGCGATAGTATCGTTGGTTTCGTTATGACGTCTAGAAAAATGTGCAAAAAATTTCAAACCCTTACATAAACTATTGCAAAAGTTATAAACAATTACAAATTATAAAAGGGGTCTATGTTATTGCTTTTGGTAACTATACTATATAAAGTTATCTATCAGATTGCAATATTTTGATTGTTATTACCTATTACTTATTAAAAATACCCTGTCTTGCATTTTTAACTTTCATAATTCATAACCAACCATAAAATTTCTCTAACACCAATAGTTCTTGAGTAATTTCCAAAAACACCTAGACCTCTATTTTTTGAATCTTTAATTGTTTATAACTTTTGCAATTGTTTATATTTATAATATTTGCTATTATTTTGCGGGTTTGAAATTTTTGCACATTTTTCAGAATCAACACGTTTTCAACTTGTTAACTAGACTGAGATGTAGAATGTACCTAATCATTATCAATAATTATCAATAAATCATTTTCATATTAGGTAAATATGGCTATCTATACATATAATAAAATTGTAACTATGCCGAATCTGTACATTTAATATTTATTGGAAAATCTTAGTAAAATAGACATTATTTTCGATACAGAGGAAAATGTCTCATTTCTGAGAAAAAATCCAAAAACTGCAATATAAGAGTATAGGTACTAATATGTAAAACCTAAGAATTTGGTTTTTGGTCATCTAAACGCGGGCGGAGCCGCGGGCAATGCTAGTTGTTTTATATTTCTATTCTTCAACGATTTTAGAATGTCTCATTGTGTAAACCTCCTGTTTGTATATTGTATATCTATAGACTGTGCTACTGCTTAATTTACATGTACATGTACACTTCAGTTATAATTTACAAAATCATGTAAAAATAGCGGTCGCCCACGTTTATCGTCACGTGTAATTCGTGCCCTCGCATGTTGAAATGAAGTATTTCAATCTTCTATTGAGAAATCTTTTAAAAAATACATATTATATAATATCCAATATTATATCTCGTGATTTTATTTTTGAGTAATCGATCATATTGTTTTTTTTTAATTATGAACTATAAGAGCTTACTAATTATATTATTATGCTATGTTACATATATCAGAAGATAAAAATGTATATAGGTACTTATATCATGTTACAACACCAAGATTTCCCTTTTTTCCTTGACTTTCTGGTTGTAAAATACTTTTAAACGATATATTAATAAACTATTATTTTCATTTCCAATACATTTTACTTTTTCAATGTCGAACAAAATACCTTTATAAACATAAATGAGTTTATAATCGTAAATAAAATTCATATATATAATGGCGATTAAAGAACTGTCTCATCGATGCTATTGTATTTAAATTTTTAATTTGTATAATCTTCACACATTCTAAACAAGTAGGTTTATTTATTTAATTTTATTATATTTTTAGTTAAATTCAAGCAACCAAAGGGGAATCAAAAAGAAAATATGATTTAAAATTACCTTTAATTTCTACGAGTACATACAAAGATTTCTTCAATATATTAATGTTGATATTACATATACAAATTTAAAATCACAGCCAAATTAGGTACTAGTAGAAACCGCGGCTACCGTCGCGCTAAAACTACAATAAAAACTCCTTGGTTTTATCCTATTAGTAATAATGTAGGAAAGTTTGCCCAATTTGTTGACAATTATGATTACTACTCCGCTCTTATGATACGAGACTTCGTCAATAAACGGGCTATCTAATGCAAAAAGATTCTTTTCAAATCGGATTAGTAGTTCGAGTTCCTGAGATTAGAGCGTTCAAACAAACAAACAAACAAACAAACAAACAAACAAACAAACAAACAAACAAACAAACAAACAAACTCTGCCCCTTTATAAAAATACAATTTAATTATTAAATAATAAGCGGAACAGCTTCATAACGAATAATCCTCAAAGATGAACGTTTAATAGAGTGTGAAAAATATTGCAAAATTCTTATCGTACATTCACCGATAATATATTACTATCTGATTATGATTGCGGGTTTTCTAAATATAAAAGTACCACCATTTTATTGATTTTATGTTGCCTGACTTTTCGACGACATCGAGACATTTCGTAAAACACGTCTCGTAACGTTGACGGCTTTTGTAGCTCAGTGGCTAGTGTCCCCGACTGCTGAGCAGGAGCTCCCGGGTTTAATCCCCGGCCAGGGCAGGTATTCAAATGGTTTTGGGTACTTCTGTTGGGTCTTGGACGTTATTATGCATGTGAATGTGTGTGTCCATGACATCACCGACGCAAGAGAAATCCTAGTGGGGAGCTATGAGTGTGAAAGCGTTTTTTGTTGAAAACTACAGTCCGATCGATGACCAACCAAGGTTGTAATTAGGACTTTTAAAAACTTGTACTAATCATAATTACTTTATATATTTCACTTGTCTAATGAAATATCTTAAAAACCACCTTTCTAATGAAGCAAATTTTGGAGAGTTTCATATTAGGGAAAATAATATTTGAGTACTTAGAATTTCGCTAAAACGTTAAAAAGTACAGTTATCATATTTAGTAAATACCTACCTACTATTCTACGTTAAGTATATCATACATTACTTGAAAAAACTGGATGAAAAGAACTTTTGTACATGTACATTATGGTGATAGCTGATTATCCGGGTCAACATATAGGATACGTTTTACCGCGGGAAAATATCTAATTTCTGAGAAAAAATACAAAAACTGCTATGTAAGAGTATATGTAAAACCTAAGAATTTGGTTTTTGGTCATCTGAACGCGAGCGGACCCGCGGGCAGTGTTAGTAATGTTATATAAATCGAAAAAACTATAAACTAAACAATTTGAGCTACTGTATTAGGTTATCGTGCATTTAAATATACTCGTATCTATTATAATTTGTTGCTTTTATTTGCACTTGGCGTTTGGTAATGCAATTTTTGCAATTTTTACTAACATAAGGGTTGGCTTAAAAGAAAATTATACTCTGTCTTTTAATATTTTGTTAATATAATTATTATTAACTTATTAATTTAATAATATAAAAACAACATTAAATGATATATTATTCAGAAATACATCAAACTTAGACTGAAGATTAATAAATTTTAATATTGGTTCTCTATGCTACTTGACTGTTGATTGTTACAAGAATGATATAAAAAAGTATAATTAATTCGGACAAATGAAGGCAAATAAAAAAAAAGTAATAATTACCGTTAAGATTCTCTTAGTTTCAAAAAAAAACTTTAGAATACTTTGCTTTAATAAATTTCAAAATCAAAAGCATAAAATTAATTATCATTACGTATACCAACGTTAAGTAGGTAGTTGTTTTTGCAATACATTAAACACTGCCTGAGGTTCTTGATCTCGCGTGGAACATCTTTAATCAATTTTTAATTAATTGCTACTAATTATTTATAAGATAAATGTGGCATGTTTAGAATACAATCTAATGATTTTGATATCAATATTCAAATGGAGGTATCGGAGCGATATCCGCAGTTTTATTTCAGTATGGCCGTGTCGTTTAAGGTCGACGAGGTGAACACCCCTCCAAGGAGAACCGTTGACCCCCGATCATATCCGTGTATGTATTGGCACATTGGCTTGAGGCTCTATGGGTAAAAATTACGTACTTACCGTCGCATAAACTTCTTAATTTTAAATTGCTCAGTGCTCGTATCTCAAGATCGCCGTGTTATTAAATTATTTATATTTTTTATTCGATCAAGCACATTTTACAATAAAAGTTATATTTTGTGAATATTCTAGATCTATTAATCTAAAAAAAATTTTTTTTCCTAGAACAGTTTATTATAAATAAAAGATATTTGGAAGAAAAAGCTTATATTATCAAGAAGATTGCTAAATTTCGAAATTAAACTTATATTTAAAAAAATCACATAAAATCATACAAATGTAGAGCGATCCGAATGTTACTTATAAGAATTAAAGGAATTAAATAGATTTTTGGATTGTAAATACCGACTATACGTCATTAGTGCATTCAGCGATTGAGAATACACAAGTTACCGTTTTCACCCGTTAGAGGGAATGCCTTTATAAACAAGTTATCCTTCCGGATTTATAAAATGCTACTAACCATGATTGGTTAGGTTTTTGCGCACTTTTAAACTAATATACTCATTAATAATATCTAATTATGGCTATTTAAGAAGATAAAGAAAAAGTTGAAATATTAGCAAAATATTTGTTATTACATATTTTTAAATACATATAAACAAAAGTAAACAGAAGAAGGCACAAACGATCATTGTACGACTCACGTCTATACATAATATTATTAATATCAATTATGGCATTTGATTCAAGTACAAATAAAAACAGTGAAACCTTTCTTCATTCAATATATTTAAAAATTTTAACATTTACTATTTATTTTCATACTTTATATATGTTTGAAAAATTATTAAAATAATCTCTATAAAGAAAAGCAAACAAAGACTCTTATAGATCCTTTAAAATCCGCCCACACTGTTTCGACGCGATTGTCAATTGTTATTTCTTTTATAAGATGTTGTAGCTTTTGATGTTTAAGTTTAGGGCGAAAAGTTGAAATACGTCATCAATAATTGATACACATTGTTAAAGTGTCATTGTAGTGATTATGTTTACTTAGGAAGGGTCCTGTAGTGTGGAGAGTACATATCGTTGGCTCACTATTACAAGCTTCTATGTTACAAATTTAGTACTTATTTAGTTATGAATGCTACAAGGTTTTATGTGTAATTAGCTACAGTTTTGCAAAAACAAACCACTAGATAGCTATAACTACAAAAAATTCAAAAGTTTTTTTACAATAACAAAATAACGAAGTTCTATGTAAAAATTACTAAACTTCATTAAAATTAACATAGAACCTTGTAATAGTAAGCCAACGAATTATGTCATTCGTGTATCGTCAATCATTTTGTTTTGATTCACATTGACTCTTTATGTAAAATGTAAGCAGAATTAAACCTGCATTCTTTTATAAAATGGCTTTACACATATGCGTTGTATAACGATATTAAGTACAGTGTACAAGTAAACAAACGAGAGTGGTATGAGGTTGAACCTTGAACTTTGCGATATCTCGGCATCCGCATTAATTAACGTTTGTCAGGTTTATTGGGAATAGTAGGGAATCCGTTTTCACCTTTTGTAACATTTTTTATTTGAAAATCGTAAAAAAATGTAAGAAATGCTATGAGTATAACCAATAAGGCCAAGACCAAACCAAAAGAGCTGTTTTTAAACGTAAATAATAATAATTAACTATAATATAAACGATATACATATATGCAGCGTAACCGAAAAAATCGATTGTGATATTTCTTATATGGTAAACGAGTTGGCCTACCTTGGACTTTAGTGCAAGGTTATATTTATAATAAAATAGAGAACGAAACTGCTCTATCTATAATGTAATAAAAAAATATTGCGTATGAATGTAACGTACACATGTATATCCTATAAGAATTTTATCTTTATGATTTACCCATACACTATAATACCTAAATAAATAAACAACAGGTCAAAAGCTATTTAAACAGTGTGCAAATTGTTACTGCTCTGGACAATATTACAATTCAAAAAGCACTTTAGGAAGTGAGACATTTAAGATTATAAAATATTCATAGCTTTCGCCGACGTCGCACCTGAATCGAGTCTCGGCAAGGGTTGGATTATACTTGATGTTTCCGGTACTTGCCCGTACAATTTCGTCTCTATAATAATAAAGTCTTGAGAGATGTTTAACCCTTTTTTACTAAATTGATGGATCCTCACGAACAATTCAGTAGATATAAAAAAAAATCATGCAAGCAGACCGATGTGAAGACAAAAAATACGTGAAGAAACTTTCGGCTATTCTCGGCTCGAAACCATTACGAAACACTTTGCGAAAGCGACTGTTGCGCCACAAGCGTCAAGTTTTTGACAACGCTACAACCTCTCCACGATATCATCTAAACCGGTATTTGAATACTGATTAACACGATATCAGTCGTCGTGGGAGTTCTGGGGCTACAGTGCCACGGCAATCTACATTGAAAGTGACGAACGGCGCAAAGGTTTGTCCCACACAAATGGGTTTAATATATTATGTAGTTTCAGAATGTAACCTAGCAAGAATGTTTGGCAGGTAGGCGAGTACAGTAACTTGGTGTAAACTAGCTAGAGATGGCGGTAAGCTACATGGCTCGGTCGGGAACTGGTTCAGACGGGGGAAGAGGCGCGGGCCCCAGACGGAGGGACGTCATTGACCTGCGCCCCCGCCCCCGCACTTCGCGCCTCCTGCCGACACCCGCGCGAACCGTAACTTCATTGTATTGCTGCACTGCGAATCAAATTCGGTATAGCGGAGACGTTTTTGCCGACATCGCTCGCTAAGTGAACTCGATTAGGCGGCTTTTTAGACAGTTTTCATGACAAAGGAAATAACAAAATAATTCACGTAGATTGACGTAAAAGTAAGATAAAAAATAGCGTATATTGTTATTAATATTATTGGTAACAAACGCTTTCAAAGGCATCAAACAATAGATACCTACACATAATCAAAGGCGAGGAACAATAAGTTTCATGAAGGTCAGAGCAGCCAACGCGAGACGAGAGAACATTTTGCGCTCGCGTTTCGTCGTTTAAGCCACTAGGTCAAGTTCAATATAAAACTCCTTAGAATAAGAGATTTTTTACAATTAAACTGTTTATTTTTAATAAAAATTATAATCAACATTTATCATTATCTTATCCGAAAGACGAAAGACTGTTTGATGTAGGCCTTCCCCAAAGACTTACCAGATAAACGCTCCTGCATTATTCGCATCTAGTTGTTTCCATGACGCAATTCCAATGCACCAGAACCATAGATAGCCTTCTACATGTTATTTACGAGGCAACATGTCTAATAGCACTCAACACTCAAGTGTATGGGAATCGTGAGTGTATAGCATAACGTGAAGAGGTCTTGACTACTTCGCCACACATGTTCCCAAACTGATAAATAATAATAACCTATACAATTTGTCAATTTCTCATTAACATGTTTCTAGAGATAAGTATACATTGTTATGATGTAACAAAAAACGTAAAACTTTAAATAAAATAATTTGGAGTAAGATGTTTCTAAAGTTCAATATATAATATGTACTAGACTCAGTAGTGCTTAATATAGAAATAGATTACCTATTTTAAATAAAACTATCTTTTTATTCGCAGATTTATTTGAATTTTTGATTCTTGACGTTTCGAATGCTTTACAGCAATCATGGTCACGGTAGAGTCTCTCCCAACCATGCCATGTGTCAGCCATGATTGCTGTAAAGCATGCGAAACGACGGGAATCAAAAATCCAAATACATAATCCGCGAAAAGATCCGAAAAGATAGTTTTATTTAAAATTTCTAATATTCGCGTAAATCTAAGAAAGATTACCTATTTGTTAAAAACTCATGTAATTAGTAAAACCACTTGTGCCGGTCGTTTGCGATTATATACCAGGAATGGAAAGGTGCTACAAAAAAGGAACAAAACATCGAAGTGTCACTAGCTTCAGTAGCCATTGTAGGCGGCGATGAGTGTAATTTCAGGTTAACAGTGCGATCATCTACAGAAATAAAGCTATTAACGATTTAACTAGGTACATTCCTAAATAACAAAGCTGAAAATTGGTCTTAAAAATCTAACTAGTTAACTAACTTATTTCTGTTATATATCTATTTAGTATTATATAATTTATTATGTAATATTGGCATATATCTATTAACACCACGGGGTAATTTCTAAGAAATTAATGTCGATTAATTTCTAAGAAATTAATTGTTAACCGGCGGTCGTTGACAGGTTAAATATGTATCTATATAAACATACTCTTAGTAGTAAAAGTTACCCAAACAGTTCACTGAATTGTGGCATTAAATACTCGAAAATGAAATCGACTTTGCTAAAAATAATAACTAGAAATAATATGATGTATCTTACCTAAGACGGCTTATAGGAGTAGAAGAGCACCAGGCAATCTGTAAATAGAGGTAATAATTAAAAAAAAAAGATTAAAATGTACGTTCGTTAACATTCTTTTGTTACGAAATATTAAAATTCAATTGAATACAAATCGTGTTGACAAAATGCGGTGATAGTATTGTAATGATAACAGAATAATGGGTTTTAGGTTAAGTAAACGATGTCACGAGCACAATCGAGCTGTGCCCGCGCAGCGCGCACCTGTTCCTTTACTACTACGCACACTGTTACAGTTTATTTGTAGAGTGACATATGACTTAGATGTTAAAGAAGTTTAAGTTTATCTTGTGCCCTATTTTTTTAAGTATCCATTTTGTAAACCAATGTAAACCATAATTGTTAATAAAATTGGACGTTGATAAATATGGCTCACTTACGCTACGGTCTACGGATAATTGACTGTGCGTAAAGCAAATACATGAACCTAATATTGTTTATATTTTGTGAACATTTAGTTATGAATGATTGAGATTTTTAGGGTTCCGTACCTTAAGAGGGAAAAAAGGAACCCTTTTAAGATATTTTAAACATATGAAATAAATATTATATTGTTTTACTATTCAATAAAATCCGTTTTAAAGATCTAAGCATACATAGGGACAGACAGACAGCGGGAAGCGACTTTGTTTTATACTATGTTTTGAATAAATAAATTTGTGATATCGATAATCTAAATAAATATTGAGACGAAAGTAAAATACGGCGAAGAGCTAAACCTACTTTCTATATTAAATTTAGCCAAAACATCTATAAAAATATTGGAATTTAGTTTGAAGAACGTAAACATATCAAAAAAATCTTAGGATGAGATTTTTTTTTTTTTAGTAAATTAAACAAAGACACATTCATTTAATTTTAAATTCAAATCTTACTAGTATTACGCGAAACTTTGTGAGGACGTATATTTGTTACTATTTCACACATAAACTACTGACCGTTTGATGAAACTTTGTAACACATAGACTAGGTATCTTTATATATATAATTCTTCTGTGAGTGTGTATGTCACTGAACTTCTCTCAAACGACTGGACCGATTTTGATGAAATTTTTTGTGTGTGTTCAAGGGGATCTGGGAATGGTTTAAATTCGCAATTTGAATAATAATTTTCATCAAAAAAATTATTAAAAAAAGTTTGAAATTTTCAAATTACAACACGAACACAGGACAGGACAACGTCTGTCGGGTCCGCTAGTAATTTATAAAAATATAGCAATACTATGAAGAATAATGTTAAATTTAATGTGTAATAATATTTTCTTGATTTCACATTTTAAATATTAAATTATTTTAATTCAATAAAGAATTAAACTCTTTAGATAAGTATAAAAAAAGATGAGACTAGAGCAGGTAAAAAATTAGAAAACAGAATACTGAGAATATTATAATAATTTTAAATAAACAGATGTCACGTGAGCATGGCAACTAAATAAAGTCGTGCCAAATGCCAATTCTTCGATGAGTTGCGCGTGCGCTTAACATGGCCGCAAACAAGATGGCGGCTGGTGAAAGTGTTGGACAATTTCCGATCGCAAAGGTATTTCCTAACATATCACGCAGAAAAGTGATAGTAAATTATTAAAAGAAGAAGTATCTAGGTCGAAAAAATTATTATTAAACTAGGTAGGTATTGAAGAATCTTAAGCAATATTGCTTGATAATTAAACTGTATTATTTTTCATGCTTAATAAGTCGTTACATTAAAAAATAAAAACTATTAAATGTCATGCACACCTTTGCTGGTAAGGTATATTGAGAATTAGTCCATGGACTTGCTATGTACGTAAAAAAAAATAGAGAAGCTACTCATCTAGCCTAGTAAATATCCTGTTATTTTTTCTAAGTGAGAAAGTATTTTTATTAAAAACAACTTTTTATAACATTGGTAAAAATTCAAAATCTATATAGGTTATTATATACTTAACTCTTATCTTACTACACGGGCAGAGATGCAAGCAAAAACGAAATTAAAATAAATATAATAGTGATTGCTTAAAAATAATGAGTTACCAAAAAAATCTAAGATAGCGAAAAATCGTGATAAAAAAGAATAATTGTGTATCATCGATCTTTTCAAAAGCCAATGGGATCCACAAACAATGGCTACCCGAAGATGAGTGAAGAGAATGCGGATATGGAAACACCAGTAAAAAATCTATTGAAATGCAAGTAAGTAAATGTAGGTGTTAAAATGTGTGAAAGATTAATTCTATTAAGTTACAAATTAATAGAACTTGAAGTGATTTATTAAAAGAGAAATGGACTATTCTCGGTTGTAAGATTTTAGATTACATCTTTATTGACACAAAACGTACCTAATTAATAGAGCGGTAGCTACCATTAAATATTGATTAGCTAATTGAAAAGTTAATTATAAGAGAAAACTATTTTAATATATTCCAAGAAAATTAATCTTAAAATGATCTTTTTAATGATTTAGTTGACGAATAATCGTTATATTATCGTAATAGAGACAATATAAGCCATGACAAATAAGCTATATAATAGTAATAGCATATTTCATTAGCCATTGTTACCAACCTGTAAATCCGATTTAATTTACTTCATTTGCGAACTTATTTTCCATTAGGTGTAGGCACGTTTACAAATGAGAAATTGTAAGTCTTATACTTAATTATAAAACAAACTAGCGACTCACCCTCGCTTGGCTTTGGTTCGATTGATTACCTCTAACAAACTTTCATCCTCATTTTCATCCCTTTAAGGGCGGATTTCTTAAAAAAAAATATTTTATGTCCTTCCCAGGGTCCCAAACTATCTTCTTATCAAATTTCATCTAAATCAGTCCAGTAGTTTTTGAGTTTATTCATTACAAACATACAAAAATACAAATCTTTCCTCTTTAAAATATTAGTGTAGAGATGTAGATGTATGAATAGAAACCTACTCGTATTTATAAACTTTTGAGTTCACCACCGAGCCTACATTAAATTACTTAGCATATAAGCTGCCACTTACAATCGATAACTTACTCTTTCTGTCTCCTTTGAAATACGTAACCTAATTTCCGTTTCAATTAGAATGCACGTACACAAGCGGAAGAGAATAATGGCCGGCATCGTTGAGGCTCTTTATGAACTTAGCTCTTAGCATGAAAGGTCCTTTGCTGATGTTTAACGGTAATTTTATTTCCATCGGATTCCATTGCCTATTTACTAAGTAAAATATTTACTGGTTTTGTTCACATATAGTATTTTTATTTTTATTTAGAAAAAATTACGTACAGGACTTTCTTCTTTAGTAAATCCCGACACTTATTATAGAAATGAAGCTATATATATAAATAATATAGCTATGAACTTAGTTAAATACGTACATACATATATGTATACTAGCGACTCACCCTCGCTCCGCTCGGGCTCGTCCTTTACGTTTTGACGTTTAGTATAGACTTCTCAGAGATGCGATAATTTCCCGCAATAAAAAGTATCCTATATGTTGACCCGGATAACCAGGTATCATTATACCAAATTTCATCAAAATCTGTCCAGTGGTTTTCTCGTGATGCGGTAACAGACAGACAAAAATTCTAAAAAAACGATAGATTCGGCCTCTGTATCGATAATAATGACTATATCAATAAGATTTTCCAAAAAATATTTAATGTACAGATTCGACTTAGTTACAATTTTATTATATGTATAGATAATATTTCTGTTACCTTACTAAAGGTTTTTGCCTTAGGTTTAAAATTACGTTAATAGCTTTTCTTTACATCTTTATGTGCGCGAATTGCAATGTACAAATTAACGATCGTAAATCAGGCGAATGTCAGCTAGCGTTGAATTATGATTCATGGCTGATGGAAGAAGTAATCTTGGTCAATTACCTACCGCCCAACCTTGCGGCGGAATTACTTTAAAGAATACCCTGTGCACGACTGTTTACGATTGTCTTTACAAGCTGGCCCAAAAATGCTTACAGATTATTATCAGAAGGACGTGATGTCTGAATTTTAACAAAATGGTGCAATGAAATGATTATTATTATTATTATTAGGTACAAATACTCTGTATAAATTTTAGATTTATATGGCTAACATATTTATATTGAATGACAAACAGATACAATACTACTATCTAAAAATAATTATTTTTTTCTGGAGACTAGAGACTAAGAATAACTAAGTAGGTACTTTAGTCTCTACATAATAGCAGACTTGTTTATTTTTTCAAGGTTGTATTACATTAGAAGAACCACAGACAGTTCTTATTTTTATTTTTATAAATATATCTAATACCTTTAAACGAGCAATTCTTGTATATTTATTTATTTATATATACTGATGATCTCGGAAACGGCTCTAAGGATTTCCCTGAAATTTGGTACGTTGGGGTTTTAGGAGGCGAAAAATCGATCTAGATTAGTCTTATGTCTGGGAAAACGCGTGTTTTCGAGTTTTCATGCGGTTTTCTTTCGCATTATTCCCCGCAAAATATGGTCGTAAATTTCGCACGTTTGGGCCTAAGCATCGTGGTCAAGAGGCCAAGGCGCAAGATTGATGATCACAGGTGACTGTGTTTTGTATTTATTCATGTTTTTAGTTTTGTTTTGGTTTAAAAAATACGATTTATAACAAAAAAGAACTCCCGAGTGAGCTCGGTCGCCCAGTTACTATATATTATACATACTAGGGAGTAGCGGTTCACCCTCGCTTCGCTCGGATTCGTCCTTATGTACGTTTTAACTGTTAGTATGGAATAGATAGACTATATTATACTATAGCCTATAGCCTTCCTTAATAAACGGGCTATCTAATGCAAAAAGATTTTTTTTTTAATAAATCGGATTAGTAGTTCCTGACATTAAACAAACAAAGAAACAAACAAACTCTGCCTCTTTATAATATTGGTATAGATAACATAATATTTAGTTAAAGCATTAAGACATTCGAGGCTAGGTACTTTACTATTAGAGTAGTGAGGTACCTAGTAACTACACAGCAGTGTACGTTAATAAGCAAAGTTAAATCAAGATTACCTACTCACATAAATTCTACAAATAAAAAGTTAAACTATACTATTGAAAAATGTCAACTTTTCTCCAATGGAAAGCTTTTAAGTCAGTTAAACAAAATCATAGATCACATGAAGCGATCTGTAGGTGAAAAGATTAAACCACATTTGCTCCACTTCAAATCGAGAATGTGTTTAATTACGGCCGCGCTTCGGATTTGAAACGTCCCGATAACCCGCCGACCTCATATGTATTACGTACAAACATAGTACGATAAGTGCGCGGGCATCGAGACAAAGTCGAGGCCATTAACCTCGGGCTATCAGCTGACGACATCGCTTAAATGCGGGGAAAATTATCTTTCATGCAATATTTCGGTCGTTCACTACCACCCTTTCTTCACCGGTCTGCCACTGTTCATAATTATAGTCCAAGAGACGGCTCTACTTTGCTCTGATAAGATTTCATACAAGGATCATTTCACGGGACTGTGTCGTTCTATCGCGAATTATTCATATACTCGATATACCTTAGGTGTATATCCTTCGAATCGTATTTTATTAAGACGCGTAGACGTAAAGCCTTTAAGCATAAAACACAAAAGGTAATTTGGCCTTAATAAAACATACAAATGGGATGAATCAGAAAACTTCCGGCCAATAATATATTTTTGGGTGCTTTGAGTTTGACCCGTTTTAATATGAATTTCTCAGAATTTGGACTTGATTGTACCTATATAATTGACATGAATCTGAAGTTACAATTGAATACGAATGATCGTCTTACGTTCGTTCGTATTTATTAGCTTTAGTATAATATAGAGCTGTATATGATATATATTCGATAACTGAGTATCGCGATAGTATTGTAATAAGGTATCAAAATATTATCATCAACGATGTTTTTGTCCTTCAGTGGCAAGATGTGAGTCGCGCGGCGTCGCGAGCGCAGGTACCTACGTCGCGTCGCGGCCGAGCAAACATAGCGACCTACTTGCGAGCCCCGCGCCCGCACGCCTTCACTACCTACTAAAAATAGACGAAATGTTGAGAAAGCAATACGACGTATGGACATGGAGTCGATTGATCGATTGTTTTCTAATTCCTATTTGTTTTTATTTACCTTCGTTATTCTATTGATTCATAGAGAAAGTTGTTTGTTTTGTTTTTTTTTAATAGATAATCTTGTCACAATATTCTGAGTCTTCTGGGATGATACTGTATGTGTTGCCAGTTAATTGGCTTCTTATTGCCAAAGAAAACATCAAAGAACAATGTAAAAATACGTTTTGGCGAAATTGTTATAATATGACCTGACGAGCCAAAACGATGTCGAAATTTCTCAATCAGTCTCTCGTGCTGGACGATTTAAAAAACCCGTCCCCGAGGGCCTTGGAAACACTTGGCCATTTGCCACGCCCATCCAGACTTGCTGGAAAGCAATTTTGTACTGCTTTGTCAAATGGTTCGCTAAATTAGCCTCCCCTTCATATGAATATTATAATTTTTCTCTTTATCTAATATGTATATCTACCCAAAGCTGCTAGCAAATTTTGCACGCAAGCCTTGAAATGAAAACCAGATGTTCAATAACTGTTAATGGGAAGAACAATAGTTGCTTCCTCATACGTAGCCTCGACATCAAGATAAGAAACGACATTGAAACATGTTAAATGTTTCCTACCGCGCTAAACGGACTCATATAATATAAAAATTTTAAACGTGAAATATTTCGTTACAAATGAGAATACAATTAAAACTTATCGTGTACTGTCGGCAAGAACACGACGTCAGATAACGGTACAATTATTCTGTGTAATGCTTACTGTTAAGAAGGTAGAGAACGACTCCTCGATAAATTCGATAGCTTATTTAATTATAACACGTATGAAACACGGCAACACAGTCCGGTTTCTTCCACGTATGCAATCATTCACACTAGCAGGACTTGCTGTATTTACCTCGCTAGAGTCGAAGGATCCACAAAGAGCACAATACGTCGCGAAGTAGTCACTAGCACTCTCACAAATCCAACACAGCACTTCTGCACGAAATCCGCTTAGCGTGGTGCACGTTTCTGTTTATGCACTGAATGGTATAGAAGAGTTCCTGTAGAAGACGTACGAATAAAAAGTGATCAATTCGGTACAAACGAACGAACGACACGAACAATCTCGCGTGCGGCCGACTGAAAACTGGTGTAGGCGATAGATACCGACCGCGGAACGACTGGCCATGAGCGGGTAGAGGGGCGTCGAGGTCTCGTTCGCTCTCGCGAGGCTCACGTAATAACATCCGAGGTAGGGGTTCGAAGGAGGCCGAGAGGTTCCGAAAGAGGCCGAAACGCCGCGCGGCAAGTCACGCTGACTCCGAGACGAGAGTCGATGCCGAGAACTTCGAAGTAGAGCCGTCAACATAGAGTATATTGCTACATATATAAATGGCCGTCAACCTGCTTGCATCGAGTTGCGAATCGTGGCTATAAAGCGCCGCTACACTATGATTTTACTAAATCATAAGTAATTCTAATAAGGTGTTGAGCAAATGACTTTTAAATTGACAATATCTTCACTTTGTTACTAATTATTAACATAAATTGGTAAATGGTTTATCTTTACTCACGTAGCGATGGTACTAGGCTCCGAAGTGATTTATTGCGCAGTTAAAAAAGTAGAGTGACATAGACTATTTTAATCCCAGTACGTTAAGTGCTTACTGTGGGCATTATCATATTGCAAAAGTTGCTTGCTACTAAGTATTAAGTGTAGATAGGATCTGTGGGAAGCGATGGAATTATTATTAAATAACGAAATTAATAATTTGTTTTTAATTGATTTAACGTCTAAGCATCAGAATGTGTGCAATAAATAAATAACTACATAAACATTAAATTAGATACTTCTGTAGAGTTCATGACATTATTGAAAAAACAAGAGCTTTCTATATATATATATATATATATATATATATATATATATATATATATATATAACATTGAATATATACTATACTACGAGATAAAAAGTAACCTAAGTACCTACTATTGCACACATTTTTTCAGTCCGCAAATTTAAGCCTGGTCCGTTCAGACTTTCTGGCATGCACGAGTAACATCCATCCATCCATCCTCACAAAGTTTCACATTTATAATATTAGTATAGATTACTAATAAAAAAAAAATTACCTAACGTTTTTCTTTCGGACTGAATCACGTTGTTTCTTCTTTCTATGAATCTTATATCTATATAATGGACCGGAGTATTATTCTTTTTAATGTTTTAAGCTACGCAAGTTCGGACTTTTTGACACAATTACCTACAATTGAGGCGATAAGGCGTCACAACTGACGACGTAACAAACGAAAATAGACAAACAAAACAACTGTCGCATTTGTAATACATATCACAAATATCATTACATAAGGGCTTGTTTTTTCGCTTTGTTACTATTTTATTCCACTATATCATTCATTTTGAGACATAACACAGGATTAGCTGTATTCTAAGAATGATTCGATTTTTAACATGAGGAAAGAACTCTGATATGCCAATGTGCATGCAAAAATGCTGATTGAACTTTTACATTTAACGTCATATAGCTTGCTATTAACAAAGTTAAATATAAAAGTGAATAAAAAATTAAATAGGTAGGTATATAATATAGAAAGAATAGAAAGACAAAGATAAAATATTTTTTAAGGGTTCCGTATTTTTTATTACATTAAAGACCATATCTGGCGACATTGTCAACAAAATGAAAAACTGTTTTTTTCACAAATTGTCAATAAGACTAAATTTACAAATAAATACATACATAGGTACGTGAAAGTAATTCGTCGTTTTTTTATATGAAATGTCAACACGTTGATCTCGGAAGCTTTTCAATTTTTCTCGACAACGCTCACACAACTTTCCGAGGTATTGTTTAAACTTCTAAACACATGAGAACTAAGTTTTTGTTCTGTTTCCAAGTGTTTTCCTATAAAGCACTCTACTTAGACGCTTCTAAGTAGTCTGTTGACTATAACGAGTAATTGAAATCAGAAATGTACGAGAATATTTTAGCTGCATAGCCTGTCTATTGTGTTTAATAAGGAAAAGATTAAATATACTCGTTGATTTTTTTTACTCAGCTCTTTCAACATCTAACTGTTGGGGATGGACTTACTTTTAATGGGCGAAGGATTAAGCCATACTCCACAACACTGATTAAATATGGCAGGCAGGCTTTAAGTCTTAAGGGGTTGCTCCCGCGGTCCACTCTGCCAGTGCCGTCAGCGAAGTATCAGCAGCAACTGGCATGGTACATCAGTCATCACCCACCGAAGTGGGTCGCCTCGGTTGTCTTGGCTTCACGCCCGGCTGGATTGCCGGATGCTTATGAGTGCTCCACACCACGTCAAGGTGAACACTTATAGAAGGGGGACAATGGACTACCTACCACAGCTTTTATATCTGTTGGTATTTTATTATATTTTTTAGAAACAAGCTGTTATTTATTAATTTTAACTTTTAAACTCATATGTTTCTTTTATATTTATTTATTTAAAACTCTATTATAGAGAAGTCCATTCGCGCTAGGTCATTACTTTAATATGGAAAACAATATTTAATAAATTGTAGTAGAGATGAGGTGTCTATATCTTACAGTTTACATGCTAATAATATTATATTATATGATGGCCAAAGCTAATATGTATGTGGTCCAAGGGCAAGGTTATTTTATTATATCACAGTCGTTTTTAGAGCAACCTACTATATTTATAACACCTCCGAAAGGTGAAATAATATCTAATTAGTTAAGAAATCAATATGTTAAAAAACCATCGATAAGATGGTATATAAATACATAAAACTAAATGTACCGATTTAAATACATTAAAAAATGTAATACCGAGTGCACCTTAGGAGATAGACATATTGGGAACTTTTTTGTTTAACTTTCAGTACATTGAAAATGTATCTCTATCTAAGGTTTAGCCAACGTTAGCCATACATAAGTTTCTAAGGACGACTCGACAGAACCAGCTATTGTACTTTTCCCGTGGGAATGAAAGATTTTCCTGTAGTAAAATGTATCCTAAATGTTGACCCGAGTAATAAGTTACCATTACCTGATTTTTGGCGACAAAATCATTTTCTGACTAACCTAATTTAACATCAGGAAATATAGATATCTAATATTGATATACAGTCACTATAAAATGTTATCATTTAACAAATTAGGTAACAATTTATGACAAAGCTTTAAATAGATGCTTTCATATATTACAGGTACTGAATAAAATAACCGATTTGGTTTTACGTTAGATCCCACAACTATTTGAGGTAGAAGAACTGCATTGCGAGACTTGCATTTTTTTACATGTTATGTTTTTGATGGAATGTCATTTTACTAGCCGATGCCGATATATGGTAAAAATTTCAGCCTTCTAGGCCCTGCGGTTCTGTCTGGGTGGTATATTAAATCGGACCAAGGAACTTTATTTCTACCTCACAAAAAGTTTTATTTATAAAAACAAAATAAAATAGATTTTTTCTAATTGATATCAGTAAATGAAATGAAATGTGTATTCTGTCGTGCATAAAAATTAGAGCTAAATACAATTTGACTATTATAAATGTACTCTTCCATTACCGCGTGTCAGTGACCTACGATGACGTCTTGTTGCGTAGGTATAGTATATTTAAAGACAATTTTTAAATGACATTACTGGTGTAAGCTCAAAATTTATTGCAGCAATATAGACCAGGGTAGAAGCCTTTAAAAATAATAAAAAGTGAAAAAAAATCATAGTAGGATGCAAAAAGGAAGATGAGAAAAGGAGGGGAATATTATAAAAATGAAAGGAAAAATAATTTACGGGCGATCTGAGGTCGGGAAGGGGGTGGGGGGAGCTTTTAAGGGTAAAAAACGGTTTTTCTCGATTTCCGGCAAAACTAAAAGTCCTATCGAAAAAAATCGAATGGCAAAGTTGTAGGTAATAAAAAGATCTAAAACTTTTGATTTTTTTCGATAGGACTTTTAGTTTTGCCGGAAATCGAGAAAAACCGTTTTTTACCCTTAAAACCTCACCCCCATCCCCTTCCCGACCTCAGATCGCCCGTAAATTATTTTTCCTTTCATTTTTATAATATTCCCCTCCTTTTCTAATGGGTTGCATCCTACTATTATTATTTTTTGGTTTCAAAAATTATCGACTCTGGTCTAATAGTAGAACTATCAATCAAATCATACACTATATTTGTCTAATTTGACTTTGAATCATATGGATAAATATGTAGATAAACATGTAGACAAGTAGTATAGAACCCATATAAATATAAGCTTTGTGGGTATGCTTTTATGCAATTGCATAAATTATACATAATTCTGATAGGATGTAAATATTAGACGATCAATAGACCAATTAAAATTTATTTCATAAGTTTACTTTACCTAAAAAATAAAGTAGCTTTCAATTTTAGCAGTAAACAATCTGTTCTAGAGTAACATTCTGAATAATTTCTGACAACAACTCTATAATGATAAGGTACTAAAAACATTTCTTTTTTAATTGTAACTACGGTTCCTGAAATATTTTCGTGTGTAGCGGTCAATATCTACTGTTGTATACTCCCTTGCGTCGAGCGCTTTGCGAGAGTTTGCCCGTTTTGAATTCATAATGACGATTTATGTTGACCTAGTCGCGAGAGCGTCTTGTCTTTGTCAGATTAGGATAAACTTTTGCCTCGTTCGGGAATTACACCCACAACTCCTCCATAACTTACTGCGCCAGGAAGGCCGTTGACTTAGAAAATTAAGATAAATTACCTATACTAATGTCATATAAATTCTAACAATTAATTATATGCTATTACTTTTCTACATATTTTTCAAAGTCATATCGTTTTAACCCATTTCGATTAAAGAAAACAAATCTATTAAACAAACGTAAAAGAAGAAAGACTGAAACATTATTTAAACTTATATTTACTTAGCTTAAAATCAATTTAAATTAATTAAAATAACCTTAGCTATTAAATCCAAATACATTTAAAATACACTTATTGCAAAGCACCAAACAAATACTTAAATTTAATGAAATTGCAAAGAAATGTTTTCTAATCTCAGGTGATCATTATAACGGCACTGTTAGAGAACAGTTCCAGCTGTTAATAGGTGGAAGCAGAAGTTAATTACATAATATTATAAGCAACAGTTCGCATCTCCGGCTGGTCGCGTGACGCAACGCCCGCGCCGTGAAAGCCGATAGCGCAGGAATTGGGTTAGCGTGCGAGCTGCGCGCGCGCCGC